CATTAGTTCAGCATTTAATCTCAAAGGTATAGTATGTGAGATTTTACTGTGTCTTTGAACATGACCACCATTACCTCCATGCAGACTTGGCTGAACACCATCTGTTTCAACTATCAGCTTTCTACTTTAAGCTTTAAAACAGGTAGAGGTGATATGGTTGTCACTCTGCAAAGGATATTAGAATTTCCCTTGCATTCGGTGTGATTTTAGAAAATGTAAATGGTCTTTAGTGAAGCATGTAAAAGGTGAAGGAGGGGCTTCAAACTCTGAAATACTTAAATGGTGATGAATATACGATCACATTACTTAGACCCTTTACCTGCTGTGTGAAGACACCATGTTTAACATGAAAGTAAATAAGATGGTATAAAATAAATATTCCTAAGGGTAAAGCATATAATATAGGCTATATAATATATAATGTGTTTGTGTAATAATATGTGTAATATAGCAATGAAAATAATCAATTTGTTATTCTATCTTTAGGCAGAGCTAGTTCTGTGATTGGCCACTCCACTCCTTCTGATCGTAGCAACAGCCAGTCACACAACAGCTTCTGCTCTATTTGTCTTGATTGAAAACATGAATGATATTTGATTGCTAAGCATGGTAAGTTATTTTGTTACAGTAGTTTTCTCACCATAGTCTGTTTGTACATGATATTAAGGGGGATATTTACTAAACCTGTCACAAATTACTGTCATTACACAAAATATTACAGCTCTGCAATTTTTTTATTTAGTGGCATGTTTACTGACACTGATGAAGTCACAGCTGTCTTAATGTGAATATACCTCCACTTTAGATCTGCTGTCTGAAGGCTGTTGAGCACTTGTTGACCAAGAGGAAGTGTAAAAAGAAAAGTGTAAGTCATCAAACATATTTTGGATCAGCAATCACATAGTCTTCTGCCAGTAAAATAATTTATTTTATTGATTAATTGAGATATGGTTTGACCTGAAAGCCTGTAAATGTCCCTCACATTCTCCTCTGGCAAGTGATGCAATTGATAAACACCTTCTCCCGCTTAAAACATGTTCTTAACTCAGACGACTAACAGCTGACAGCTGGACCACAGATTGTACACCTGCTTTCTCCTTGTTATATTCCAGCCACAGAAGTGGTAAATCAGATGCTGAGAGTATTTGTATACATTTACATTCTCTCCTCCCTGATTTTTGTGCCCCTGAACAGGAACGCCTTAAAATACATATTGCACGAGATCAGGTGCGCACATTCCTGCGGTGCTGCATTTCTTCTGTTTCTGCACCTCAGAACCCCACTGCAACTCCGTAGAAAATACATGCACAATTTCAGTAGTGCCAGAAAATGAGCCGCAAAACCTTAGTAAATATCCCCCTCAGCCTGCAGTACTATAAATCACAATTTATTCTGAAATGTGCTCAAAGAGACAGGTGGCTGAGAAGATTCTATTGCTGTTTTTGTAGTTTTGCTCACTCTGCCAGTAGACAGAGCCATCTTTACTGAATGCACCTTTAATATTAGGCAAGGATGCATGTGCAATTTACATTTAACACTGATGATTGTACCAGTGTGATAACACAGTGGATGTTTTGTATATTTGTATATTGTATATTGTGCTCATTATACCATGCTAATGTCAATGGTTTTTTTACCAATATGTTGCAATACCAGATCAGACTAAATAATGCAATTACTAAGGGGTATTTTACTAATGGCAAAATCAATGTTTTCCTATTTACCGCAGAGGATGGATGTTTAGTTTGCCACACTGTAGTGCATTATATATACTTTTCAAGTAGGCTATTGCTACTTCTGACACGTGTAAATAGGGACTAAGTCTATGAGTAATGAATGGATTTGCATGATTTTGAAAATAAAAAAACTTTATTAACTTGTGAAAAGAATATTCTTAATCCAACCCAAGTTTATTCCTGTTGTCTGTTTACTTTTTGTACTACACATACAGACTATGAACACTATTACATATGTTATTTACACCTGTGCATAACAAAATAGATTTAAGTGGTAACACAGTCCTGTTAGGGATATATATGAGGAGTGAGAGGACCGGGTGTCGACCAGCGGCAGCAGAAGACAGAGAGAGCGTACTTGGCATAAAAAGCAAAAGCGATAACATACATGGGGCCTGAAGACAGAGAAAGAACTGGCAGGGGAATGAACGGTAAGCAGTGTATAAGTAAGGAGGGAAACTAATGAGGCGCAGCTGGTGAGTAATCAGTGAGGCGGGGCAGGTGTGTTGAATAGTGTAATCAGTGCAAGGGAGCTGACTAGTGTGAGGAAAAAGAAGAGAGGAAGGTGCCACCGGGCAAACCTGACAAGTCCAAGTGTAGTTTAATTAACTCATCTCTGATATAGTACTAACAAACAGTAAAAGCATTATTAAGATTGGATTTTTTTGCATTTATATTTATTTGAAAGGATTTGATTAATTTGAATAATAAAAATTGGACAATGTAGTCTACAAATATTGTAGGAAACACACTAGTTTAGCTAGTTTAGTGTTGATTTCCTGTTACTTAATTTAAACAACTAGGTGCGTAACAAAATATAATCACTATCTCAAAACTACAGTGAGTAACATGCTTCAATTTTTTTTTTATTGAATAAACATCCCCATAAACTTATCTTAATATAATTGCTATTACTGAAACTTGGATCAACACTGTAAGGGAAATGGATTTTGACCTTGAAGGCTATGACTTGGTATGCACCAACAGAGAGAATAAGATATAAGAATGTAGACAAAATGTCTAGGGTAGTAGATAATTTACTTGAATGTGTGACTGTTGAACTACTTTTGGAAAAAAAGAAGAATGTTGTAATAAGCTGTATTTACAGAGCACCTGGAGCCAGCATAGACAAATTTAATGACTGGATGGTGTTAGGGTGATTTTCATTTTTAGATAGAAATGAATATAATTAGTTAGGGTTTTTATTATATAGCATATATAAGTTTATATATTTTAATCTCACAGTTGTGTTTATGTTATGTAGTTACATATCTATATATCACCCTATGTGTTCACTGAATCACTGGTCAGTATACTGTTAGCCAACTGGAGCACTGTTTAATATCAAGGGAGACTAGTTTACTAAAACACTGAAATCTCATTAGATTTACAGCTTTAGCAAAGAGGGTCCACAGTTACTTTATTACCACCACCTGGCTAATAGGATGGGGGAGTTATAGTTTACTGGGATTCTTTGAATAGTTGGAACAGAGATTAGATCTGAGCCAGGAAGAGGAAGCAACTTCAAAGGCAGGACAACACAGACACACACAGGCAGAGAAGCTTTATTGGAACAGGGGGGTAGTGCCTAAAATGTGGCAGTCTCTTGGAAACAAAGGAAGACATAAGTGTCTATGTAGGAATTAAGACAGGGTAGGTATTCCTCCCTTTTTAGGGTGCT